ATTCATGCACACAATGTATTCAAAGTATCAGGACAGGCTCTTAAACAGCGGAGTGGCCAAAACGTTTGACATTGACAGCTTTGCGGAGCTACTCCCTGCGGTGCTGGCGCGTGAATACCGTAGCAGGAGCCCGGTGAAATGGAAAGAGACATTCGCGAGCGAAGCGTGGCTTCGGCGATGCTGGCAATTCATTGCGTCTTTGGTGTCAAAAGATGCAGATACAGCCGATGGAAACACGGTGTTCGACAAGGCCATTGCCACGCTCAAAGAGTGGACGTTACTTCCCGCTGTTACATTTACAATCTCAAGTGTGGGAACTTTGGTACAAAAAGACAATATTTTGGTGCCATTGAATCTGATTCACGCTGTGATATTTCCTCACAGCCACAATGATCGCCTCTTTTCAGCACTCATGAAGGCTGGTTCTCTGCAGCTTATGCTCCCAAAAATTGCATCCCATGATAACCATTTGACATTGATTTTTTCAAAATATACGGCAAACATCGAGAACCCTTCCAGTATATTAAACTTACTTAGTTATATGCTGAAGACCTCTGGCTTCCAAAACAACCTAGAGGAACACGACCATGAAACCCTTCTTATGTACTTCAATAGAAACATAAAGAAAGTCACAAATCCAGATGATCTGCAGGTGTTGAGAATGTTGCCTTGTTATAAGACCATAGATGGCAATTTTGTTAACTTGCACAAATACAGGTCATGCTATGTGCTGACCAAAACAATTCCCTCCACCGAGATGGATGTATGGACCAAATCGACTGCTGCCATATTCATTCAAGATAATCCCCAGTTACAAGAATTGTTTACATACTTGGGATTCACACAGGTTGACGACTTGGATGTCTATGGAAAATACATTCTTCCCAAGTTCGATAGCCTTACTTTTAAAGCAAAGCTGCGGCATGTGATTTACCTGAAAAAACGTATCAAGTCATTGGAAGAAAATAAAGCGTTGCAAGAGAAGATATGTTCCAAACTCGAGGGCCTGGCTTTCATCCCAGACACTGATGGCCGTCTCAGGCCAGCAAAGCACTTCTTTGACAAAAAAACAAAACTATACGATGTCATGCTACCAGAGCGGTCATTCATTCCTGATGAGTTCTTCATTACATTGGAAGAACTAGAAAGCCCCACGAACCAACAAGTCTATCAGTTATCATGGCATAAGTTCCTGAAACAAATTGGACTCAAACATGAATTGTCTCAGCAGCAGCTGATATTTTTTTCCCGTGACATTTCAAATAGATCTCAAACAGAGCAGTGGTCATTTGAGAAACTCAAGAAGACAGTGGACACCTTTTTAGATCACATTTTCACTGAACGTGATGATCTTTTTAATGGAAGTTTCTTAAGAGACTTGTCGATAATCGCCTTCATGTATCCAGAGAGAGCTCCTCCTGACCTGCTGAAACTTCACCCGCAGTTCCAGGAAACCAAGGGCACATTGCCCCTCATTCGCTTTAGCCACTCCCAGGTGAATCCCAAGATGAAGGGGATAGATGCAATGCAGTTACTGTGGAGTGCCTCACCCTTGCTCCCCGAGAAGGCCTGCCCCACCTCCATTAGGGAGCAGAAGCAGTGCAACGCGGAGAAGGGGCCAACACAACTGGAGGAGCTTTTCACTACGTTAAATGTAAGCCTATTTCCACCCCTTGAAAAAGTCATCGCCCACTGCAAAAACATCTGTTCTGTTACACCTGTGGATGATTTTACACTCAAGACGAGAGCTGCCGTTTTGAAAGGTATTTACGGATTTTTGAACTCTCACAAGGTGGATTTTCGCCATCAGCTGAGAGGTGTTCCTCTCGTTTTAGTTGATGAAGGGAGAAAATTAGTAAAACCGGACGAGGTTGTAATAAACCTAGAGAATGAAGCAGACTTTAAGCCATATCTCCACAAACTTCCCTTGGAACTCGGGGCCTTTCACCATCATTTTAAGTGTCTTGGAACAGAGGATAACGTTTCTGTGCGGCAGTATGTGGATGTTCTGTCACGTATTTTCGTCAAGTCAAATGGGAAGCACCTGGAACCAAATGAGATGCGAACAGTAAAACGAGTTGTTTCTGGCCTCTTTAAGAATTTGCAAACGGACAGCGTGCGAATACGCACGGAGCTTGAAAACATCCGTGACCTAATGCTCTTCCTGCCCAGTGCAGATGGGAAACTGGTGAAGAGTGGCAGCTTAGTCTTTGACGATGCCCCCCATTATAAGAGCCGCATATACGGTAGCAACATGGGAGTGCCGTTGCTGGTGGATCTTGGGCAGTGCTACCTCGGGAAGGATCACTCCGTGCACACGAAGATCATCATGCTGCTCCCACTAAAACTCAGGCCGAGGCTCCTGAGTAGCATTCTGGAAGAGCACTTGGATGAAGATGACCCAAAGCCTTGCCACTATGGCAAACTGTGCTCGCTGCAGGGACGATTGCAGCTGCTACTCTCCTCGGAGCAGTTCACAGCGGGACTGGTCAGGGTCATGAAACACGAGAGTGAAAATGCCTTCTTAGCAAACGAAGAAAGGGCACTGATGCTGTGCAAGTCCTTAAATGTGAGTCTAAGGGTATCCTGCTTTGAGAAACTGCAGACAACTCTTCGTCTGAAAGATAACGAGATGATCCCAAAAAGTAAATGTGAAACACTGGCATTTTTGAAAAAAACTAGCACCTCTTCAATCCATCTTTACGTTCAACATTCTGACTTTAAGGACATCAACTTCCTTCTTGCTTTGGCTATGACCATTAAGTCATCGGCAGACAATCTCATATCCGATACTTCATATTTGATTGCAATGCTTGGATGTATTGATATTTACCGGATAGCTGATAAACTTGATAGCCTCGGTGTTAAATATGATACGACTACTGAGCCATCAAAGATGGAGCTACCTCTCCCAGGAACTCCAATACCCAGAGAAATCCACCACCTTCTGCTTATGGATCCCACGAATGTGTTTTATCCAGGAGAGTATGTTGGCTACCTTGTTGACCCAGAAGGTAAAGAAAGTTCATTCTCATATCAGGCAACATACACATATGCCGTCATCATTCAAGAGGTGGATGGAAGCCAAGAGGATGATTCTTTACTTAGAAAGTCGTATCAGATCGATATTGGGTATAATGAGTATAAAGTTGTCAATTCTTTGGATCTGTACAAATTCCTACGTCACGGAGAAGGCATGCAAGAGAGAGAGGAGAGTGTGTTCAAAGAGAAATTGGGTAGTCACCGAAGGATGCCAGATGACACAAAAAGGGAGGGCACAAAGAGGCATTCACCCAAAGCACAAGTGCCCGAAACAGAAAAGCCAATTTCCATAGCTGACGTTTTATCAGACATCACCTTGGTGTTAGAGCAGGCGTGGAAAGGTCCTGAAGCAGAACGTAAAAAGGTTATTCGTAGGCTTTATCTAAAATGGCATCCGGACAAAAATGCAGACCATTTAGAAATAGCGAACGAGGTGTTTAAACACTTACAGACGGAGATTAGAAGGCTGGAAACTGGAGTAATGGAGTCAAATAAAGATAAGTCTCAGAGACGTCCATTTGGCTCCGCGCGATTTTATGGAGATAGTTTTTCCTTTGAGAAGTTTTTCAAATCCTGGAATCAGGAAGCAACGAGCCATTCCCAGGAGAAGCAGGGCTACAGTGAGAAGTTCTCCGCTTCAGCCCAGAGCGGAAGTCACTCTGATCGGGCGTTTGTTCCACCGACGTACAAGGTGGCAGGGAATCCCGTGGAAGCGCTGAGATGGATAAGGCAAGCCAGGGCAAATCTCTCCGCAGCAAGGAATGATTTGCATCGAAATGCTAACGAGTGGCTGTGCTTTAAGTGTTACCAGGCTGTGAAGCTTGCACTTATTGCTGTGGAGTACTGTGTCAGAGGACAAGCGGACAAAGACGTTCACTTGCAACATCTGGCTCAGAAAGCAGAAGAGCAAAGCACATTGTTGCTGGGGCTAGCGAACGATGTGCTCACACTGGAGGTGTTCGGCATAGACGGCTTGAAAACACAGTATCCAGATGTCCTCCCGTTTCCTCAAGTCCCAAACGATAGATTTCCAACGGATGTTTCCCTCAAGGTAATTGAAATCACCGGTAGGATTATCATCAGGATTGAAAATTTTATTAGACAAAAAATCTAAATGTGGTTTCAATTGTTTTGACTGCGTGCTGTATGTTATTTATTTTCCTGAATTCATCAAAAAATGTAACCGAGATTGTTTGTAAATTGTCGCGTAAGTTGCATGCCTGCGATTATGAATTTATAGTGTTCGAGTTTGTATTTTATTTGGCACTTATAGTATTATTACCACGTGTTGCTTAATGCATTCCTTGCAAGTGCATTGGGTTTCGCTGCACACATACTGAATATATATGGTCACCGTATACATGTCGTGAATGTCAAGCACAATGATGTTGGGGCAATCCATTGTTTCTACATGATTGGGCAAAGCAGGTAAACACATCCATGAATGAGGAGCTGCTGTGCCTTATCAATAGAATCACTTGGGTCGTATTTACTAATGAACTATCACCACTCCCAGTTTACTGAAAGATACCTGTGCATCCACTCGGATATGTTCAAGTGTAAATTAATTATGTAAATATGGAATATAAATTTGACATGCAGGTATTTTTGTACGTACATGAGAATTCTAGTTTGTTTTGGTTTACAACAATGCCTTATTAATAGAAATCAACTTCGACCGTGAACCCTTCCCCCTTGGTGACTTTGGCATAGAACTCTCCTTGCCCTGGCGGGAATGGAGCATCCGAGCGACAAGTTAAAAGGGGAAGGAGAGGGAGTACGAGGAGGGGAATGTGTCGCCCGTTCTTGCAGAACCCAGTATGAATAGCCCGAAAAATGGGGGCAAGTGGTAACCACTGCTCCCGGGAGAAAACATGACAAAACTTGGACATGGCGTTTGTTGTTTTATTTCTGGTTTTGTTTGGTTACATTATTGCCTCCCCTTTCTTCAATGTTCTCCCCCCCCCCCCCCTTAAATGCACTGCTCCCGATCATTACCCTGACTGCGGGAGGGGAGCGCTCTCGATCGATCCAAACTTTTGGGGGGTGTATTGCCTCGAATTTGTTCCACGTTATCTGCTGTTTTTGTCCCCTCTTTTTGAAATCCACTTTGTGTTCTAGGTTGTTTAATGACAAGAACAAATGTATTAACAAAAGTCTACGTTGGAACGGATTTCCCTCATAGCAGCAGCAACCTGCGTTAAACGAGGCATCACTTAAAACACATTTTTAATTGTTGAGCATGAATTCAAACCTTCCTATTGTTTTTCCTTCCTTGCGGACGGAAACTGGCCTTTGCGGTGACTAATGTTTTGTAACCGAATATTTTATGTAAATTATTTAAATTCTACAAAAAAACATTTCGAACAGTCTGTAGTACACCAAAGACAAGTCATTTTTTAAAATCAGCTTTGCAGTACAGTAAATTGAGGGCCCATGCCAGGTGGGAGCCCTGGGGGCCTGTGCCCCCACTTCTGACCCTGGTTTTGGGGTGCAGGGATCCACACCACTCGTCTCCCCTACCTCGCCCATGTCCTCTTGGTCAGATCCACCGAAGCAGCGATGCCTTCAACCCATTCGCCTCCTTAGCCTGATTATCACGGCTGCCATGGCTACTGTTCCCGTGAACCATTATCCATTGAGAACTTGGGTCGACCAGGCTCTTGTGTCGTATCCGTCCTGTGTTTAACCACCACATTGCAGGTCGCAACAACACACTTATTCGTCTACCCACTCTCCTCCCACACTGCAGGTCACACAGGAATTCCCTAACACGGTCACCTTTCCCTTGCTCGGTTCAAGAAATGTGTTCACTCTTACCGACAACGTAGATAGCGCTATTTGTTGTTGGCTGCTTGACGTTTTGATCCCTTTGGTGCTGCGCTCGTCAACTGTTTAAAAAAAAAGAACTATCCCTGGGCGTACATCATTCGCTCGCTGCTCATGCAGACATGCTCTGCAGCATGTGATGCATCTGGTTGCCTCCCGCAGTGTCCACTATTAAGAGGAAAATCTGAGAATTTTCGTTTTCTATTTTAGTGGAATATAATTGGGAAATGTGTTCGTGTGAAACCAGGTTCCCGTCTCCTGTGCAGATGTAGGCAGAGCATTACGTGATTACATTACTATTATTCGAATGTTAATGTTCAATGCTTGTATCGTACCAGAAACGGGGATCGAGCGTAATTTGGCATGGTGCCTGGTTTCTCATTGAGTTGGCCAAAGGCAATCCCTCTCCATTGTGGCCTTCACACATCAGCAAAATGCTGACCTGTCTTTATTTTTGGGAAAGTGGTGTTTTTAATATTTATGCAAATATTTTATGCAAAACATTAACTACAGGTGGACTCTCGATTTATCCGTGTGGTTTTTCCGATTCGCGGATTAACCGTGCACATAAATTAGCAACTCGTGAATTTTCACCTCAGCCCAAATTAATAATCTAAAACCAAGTTACACATTGTTATTCTTGGAAATGTTTATTACAAGCCACGTGCTTAAACCGAACAAATATGTTGCTCCGGTTAATCCGACATCCACGTGATCGCCTCTACAGTACAGTAGTTGCATATCTTTACAACAGTGGGCAGAAGTTTGATTGATGTTCATTGGTGTGGCTCTGCTGTCCGCTTCGTGAGCAGAGCCTTCTGCGCTGGAGCAGCAAAGTGTTATCACGGAGCACGTGCATCGATCGGTCAATTGTATATTAGTGGTTTTTGGCATAGATCCGCAGAAAATAGATATGTTTGGATTATCTGCGATTGTGAATAATCCGCGGTCGTCCTCCCCGTCATTAGCGGGTATAATCGGGAGTCTACTGTATTAAAATTGTAAATAGTGTGTGTTAGGCTGAAATGCTGCCAGCTTACTGGGAATTAGCACAGGGGCACCTTGTTATAAGTATGTTTGATGAATTTGTAAGAATTGCGTGTCTAATAAATAACATTTAAAATATTTTAGATGTATTCCAATAATACGCCTTCAGTTGTCTTGTTTTATATTTATAGCAACATTTGCAATTGAACAAAGTTGGGTTTCCCCATTCACGCGCTAATGCTTTTCACATTCTGCCATCTCTGTATCCACCAATTTTAACACTTAACAGATGCTAGGCTATTTTCGTTTTAACATATAAAGTCGAGCAATGTACTTTCTACTGTAATTGTTTCATTAAATTAAACTTGATTTTAATTTAGAAAAAAATGTCGTCTTGTCTGCGGTGAACCGTTTAGGGTATTATTCGAGGATGATTCTGTTTGACGAACTCGTGTTTTGAAACCAAATCCAGCTCGTAAACGCGTCCGCCTCATGCACATAAAACATCAGCATATTTAACACATCCCAACTCTTACTCTCAAAAACATGCAAAACCAGCGGTACCACCGGACGCACACTGGACAAACGCGATGTCGGCGGATGGGAATTCTCTTTCACGTCGTCACAGTGAGAAGGGTATGAGACGTGTCAGCTGTCTCTTATTTGCCATTTCAGAGCAGCAGGTTCTTGGAGTAGTAATTAACTAAAAAGAGGTGCACGGCTAGGAACCCAGCGGTTGGTATCGCAGCTTGTTGGATGAGAGGATATCTGCTTGCACAGCGTCCATATTCACACTGAGCGCGTCCATATTGTGCTGTCACAGACCGAGCAGCACACGCACACACACACACATTTGCGGTGTCAAACAATACTTCAGAATATTATTCAAGTTCATTTTGTTTAACCAGGTGCGAACTCAAGGAACTAGGATAGTTACATATCCACGTGACCTGGGTCACAAAAAAATTACGAACTCCCAATAAAGTGCAGGCATACAGCAAAGTCAAAGCGATGTCCTGCTCAAATGAGCATTGAGACAATACTCGTCTCCTGTTTTACAACTCTGAGCCAGTAGTGGGGGCGAGTCTACCCATAGGACAACCACTGTTGACTTCCTCACAGCGGTATTCGTTCCATCGACCCCAGAAAGAGGTCTGTTAATCGCCCCCCCCCCACCAAACAGGATTTGAACATGAGCAGTCCTTGGGTTACGAATCTAATTCGTTCCTGACAACCGTTCGTAAGTCGAGAACTGCTTGCAAATCCTTTCTATGGTTAGCTGCTCGCTCGAGTGCAGGGGTGGGGGGAACCTTTTGTCTGCCAAGGACCATTTGGATATTTATATAACATCATTCGCGGGCCATGCAAAATTATCAACTTAAAAATTGGCCCCGTGATATTTGGTCAAACATTTAATTAACGCACCCCTAATGCGATGGCTGGAACTGCTTCTCTTTGGCGAGGCGTGTGATGATGTTAGCTGGTATTGATGATGTTAGCTGGTATTGATGATGTTAGCTGGTATTGATGATGTTAGCTGGTATTGATGATGTTAGCTGGTATTGATGATGTTAGCTGGTATTGATGATGTTGCTACTCGCAACTGCTTTTCCAGGTTTGCTCCTAGATTTATTGAATTTCGAGTAGTGGTTGCCTTGGCAGGGCCAGAGACCAAATGATTTTGCGGGCCTCATACGGCCCGTGGGCCGGACGTTCCCCAGCCCTGCTGTAGAGGTCGGCTAAGCAGAAGCCAATTTCACTATTGTAGCTTTCGCATAAAATAGTATAAGATTAATGTCACGACTTCAAATAAGGAGATGATTAACATTTTAGTGGATAGTGCAACAAAAGTGGGTGGGGGGTGGGGACAAAATAAAACGAAAAAGGACACGTTATCTGAAATTACACAAAAATATATATTTGGGTTTAGGTAATGCTGACATGAATGGGTGTAATGAATAGCAGTTATGTTAATTATGTATTAATGCACGTGTTTAGGCTCCGTCTCTAGACTTTCATAAGGGAAGGGTTTTACTATGTGTAATCCCAATTGAGTAATTGCAGGTAATATAACAGCAATATCATATTTGGTGAATAGAAGTTACATTGCATTTTTTTGTTTGTTAGGAAATCGGAAACCCCGCAGGAAACCCATGCAGAACAAGGGGAGAACATACAAACTCCACACAGAGAGGAGGTGCCCGAGAAGGAAATAAAAATTCGTGAATGATGAACAGTTTCTGACGAGAAAACTAGTTTAGTGTGGCAAAGATCCAACTTCCAAGCAGTGGGCCGTGTTGATGACACAGGGGCCCGGCTCACCATAAATGATGCATACAGAGCCTCTCCCATGGATGTTTTGACGGGGTCTTCCATCTTGGGACACACCTGCAACAACATCTGTGCAGCACAGGGAGGGACAAGACCGTTTACATTTTGGTTTCTACAATATTGTTCTTACGATATATATATATTTTTTGTTTTCCATGGAAGCTTCACTCAATCGAAAGACTTTTTCAGAAAGGGTCCTGTCAAGTGTTCAAAGTAGGGGGCGATGATTGCCATGTTGTCCAATTAAATTGAGTCATTTTGCAAATTTGGACCATGATGCTGGCACAATGGAATATACTGTTCTTCAAAAATGATGTCACGTAATCTTTAACGTCCACCATGCAACAGACGTCACGTTATATGGTGAACAAACCCGCAGTATATTAACCAGTGTGGGCGTTCCAGTTTCGGACCATGAACCTCTGCAACAAGGGGTGAACTTGCTCAGCGGAGCCATGTCAATATTTTCTTTCACTCTATTTATGCAGGCATTGTAGGTATCGTGGACTGATGTTAAAATAAATACTTTATGCCTGAGAAATAACACAGACGTGTTTGAACCCTGGGATATTTCTCACCCAGCTAGTGGTCTCACCTTCAGTGTCTTCATGGCCTGCCACCTGCTGTGAACATAGTGCTGGTTCCCCATAGCCACCAGCAGGTAATGTGCTGCACCCAAGTCAACAAGTTCACTGGCCCACTGCTGAGACGCTGCACAGAGGGCACTGTGATGTACACACACACCCCACATCACAGGACATCACGTTGATCATTTGAGCAAGGAATTACTTTGACTCTTTTGACGTTATATTCTTGGTTCTTTCGGTAAAGTCACCACGTAGAAGGGAAACAATAAAATAATAAAAATATAAAACACTAAAATTCTCACGACGTTCCGACTGCAACACAAGCAATCATCATCGGGTGTGAAAACCTGATGATGATTTTCACACCTGAAAACCTGATGATTTTCACACCTGATGATGATTGCTTGTGTTGCAGTCGAAACGTCGTGAGAATTTTATTGTTTTATATTTTTATTATTTTATTGTTTCCCTTCTTCGTGACTTTACCGAAAGAACCAAGAATATGAATCCCTGCAGTCACGAAATCTTTAAATCTTTTGACGTTATTTGTAGAATCCCTGCCTATGAATGTGTCTTCTGATATGTCTCATCATAGCTGTGCATCTCACCTGATTGCCTTGGCTGCAGCCGCTTGTTGGACATACACTGGCAGTGGCTCAGGAAGTCTCGGAGTGGCTGGGTCTGGCGTGGCGCAGGTTGCAAGGTAGAGAGAACAAGAGGGAGCAGCAAGAGAACACCAACATTTAAATTCAAAACACTAATTTAATATGTGCACTACACCACTATAGCACTCAATTACACCACTGTGCATACACTACACCACGGCACGTAACCACTACAATGCATTACAAAGCATACACACCATGCAGTATTGCAGGTGCAGATTGGTCTTGATCAAGAGGGCCAGGCTTTAGCAAAGCCAACAGTCCAGACAGCAGGTTTGAATGCAGAGGGCTCTCCATCAGCTCCGTAATCAGCGCTATAGCTGTGAGAGAGATGTTGGGGGGGGGGGGGGAGGGTCATCAGCAAATGGTGTGATTTTGTCATAAGCATAGATTGGAAAACATTAATTTTGCCATGTTCTCATTATTACTTTGTTATGATTCTGCTTAGTAGTTTAACACTTAGGCTTTCACGACCAATATTCATAATAAAGGGTTTTGGGTTAGATCGCGTTAGTATAAATGCTGTGTCGTAACCCTCCATCACCCGACACAGCCAATTAGTAAGGGATTTGTCACGGAAACAAAACGCCAATTAGTTACTACTTCAGCCCACCTGTGTGTTGGAGAGTAAATCGACATTTACAATTTGAGTACGACGTTTCTCTGGTAATTACATCCAGTATCATCAAGCGATTTGCTCGAATTGTGAAGCAATCCACCTACTTTCGGTACTTTAATAGAGTAAGATGACGTCATCACTGAACGCATCAGATGCAGAGATCAGGAGGGGGGGGGTATTGTAATTATATAATACATTTGTAATCAGTTCATTAGCATGTGTTTCCTCTTTAAGGAATTTTAGTTGTAAGATGTATTGTTTAATAATTGGCTTTCAGGCCGGACTAAACCTGTAGCTGTCAGAGCGGTTAACATTATTTGTATTTATCTCAATTTCAATATATTCTCGCATTAGTCTCGGCCAGTAATAATTAGTTTTACACAACACTTCAACGTTATCAAAATCAATTGAGTGTCCTTGTTGTCAAGCATGTTCTGCGAGTATTTAATATTTATTTGGTGTCTGTCCAATATAGCATTTGCCACATAAGCAATTAATTCAATACGTACCTTCTGTTGATAACTTAGGCAATTCATATTTAGTACAAGATACTAGTTTGTGAATTTTGCGTACCGTGCCAAATCTTACTTTGATTTTTAGTTTTTCTAAAACTCTAGCTAATTTGTCAGTTACTCCCGCAAGACTAAAAGAACACTGAAGAAATATTAAATACTCGCAAACACAACTGTCGGCAGTTGCAGAACATGCTTGCCAACAAGGACACTCAATTTATTTTGATAACGTTTTTAGAAGAGGGTGATGTTGCTATGTGTAATCCCAATTGAGTTATTTGCATGGACGTTTTACCACACCAGTCATATTGTATCTTCTTTAGCTATGGAAGTGTAATAACCTGGGTGGGTGGGCTGTAATTTTGCGGGAGTTGAGAAGGGTGGGACAGCGGTTGTGGACATGTGGATAGGTGGGAAAGAGGACAAAGCTGGTGTCATGAGGTGCGAGGGAAAACCATTCACTGGGTGTGAAGACGGGGGGGGGGGGGGGGAAATAAGGCAAAACAACAAAGCTGGGACTGGGGAAACCCATATGAAAGGGACCTTCGGTAGGGGTGGGGTGGTCTGGGAGAAGTAGTACGGAGAGAGAGGACGACGCGGGCCAAGACGTTGGTGCGGAGGTTTTTGGCAGAAAAGCAGGATGATCAAGCTGCCATGCAGCGGCTTCACAGAAGGGCAGGACTTTTACGGGTAGTGCTCGATCTTTATTGTATGGCTTTAGAGCCTGTGTCTTCGATGTTTCACACAGTGCGGTACCTCGTTGCTGATGTAGTGTTGTGGTGCAATTTTGTAATACCGCAAACCGCTCAAATTTTACAGATGGGTTTTCGAGTCATCCGTGGTCGTCGCACCATACAGAAGAATAAAATACAAGTCCATACAACAACAACAACCGCCATTCGCCACTAAGTGGCGGTGACGTCACCACGACGCTTGTGCCAGGCCATGTGCACCTTGAGGCCACGTAAAGTGTCGAACGCCCGCTGGCAGGAGGTCACGGGGCAGACCCAGGTGCCACGGGTCGACTGACTAAGATGACTGAGATGACCGGCTGATGCACCACCTGCGTCCCCTACTATGCCAACTTGCTGTGCTTTAGCCACCCGGCGCTCCGCTCATAGTTGTGAGTCCATACACTCACTCTGGCACACTCACACTCTGCAGAATATAGGAGGTACATACAAACTCCGCACTCTGTGACACACATTCAGATCACTCACACGCACTCGGACTCTGCAGACCAAGAGGAGTAAATATAATTACGGAAAGGCACCCAAGTCGAAAATCGAATCCAAAGCCCTTCTTGCTGTGATACTCAGTGAAGCTGTCCTGGGTAAACAAGTAGAAACAGATAATAATGGCTTCTGCAAATACCTTACAATACCTGTACCCCATCACAGGAGTCTAAGCAGATTGAATGATGCCGAGGAAAGAGTACAGATAACATCGATCACGATGGAGACATACCCTCGTATTGAACGTCCAGGTGTGGTGAGGACAGCACCTGTAGAAGAGGCTTCACCAGGATTGGATGTGCATTCTTCACAAGGGGCTGACAAGAAAACACGTACATCCTCATCACGTGGGTCACCTGCACGTTCCACCTATCACAGGCAGTCAAATGATCACCGAGGCGGTGCTCACCTCCCGTTGACAGCCCTGGGTCAGATGCATGATGCTAAATTCCTCACACTAACATGCTAATCTCCCAGTTACATGCTAATTTCTGGCTTTAACATCCTGCTAATCTCTCACATTAACACAGCTGCTTCAATGCTAAATTCTTCTGTTGATATGTAAACTCCTTTGTCAAGGAGCTCTGCTCCTCCCACCCAGCTTAGCAGTGTTCACTGGAGCGCCGTCTTTCCGACAGTTCTGTTTCTTCACCTGAGGAAGGCTACTTGTGTTGTGGCCGAAACGTCGTGAGAATTTTAATTGTATTATGTTTCATTTGTATTATTTTATTATTTCCCTTCTACGTGACTTTACCGAAAGAACCAAGAAGATGAATCCCTGCAGTCACGAAAGCTTTAAATCGAAATAGTACATTACTCATTTTATTGATCCCAGACAGATAATGTGCCGAGTCAACTGCATGCCAACATTTGAACTCGCAACCTTTCGTTTGCGAGCTGCTCGCTTCACCACCTGGTTGTTGTGTATTGCTGCTGCTATAATAATGCTGCGATTGATATCACAAGGATGTGAATTCATTACAAAAAATGCAATGTCTTAGTGTTTTTATTTTTAATAGAAACTCATCTTCTGATGAACGATAATTGGTTTATTTTACATTAGGTCACGTAAAAATGTGCGTCATGAACCCTCCTACACGTGACAACAGCCAATTAATAAAAGTGTCACATGAAGCAAACGTACCATGAATGTGCCTGTCGATGTCATGGCATCTATTTAAGAAACTGGATGAGGAAGCGCTTTCACTAGAGAGTGGAGAACAATTATTGAAGGGGGCTTAATAAATTCAAATTATTATTAACAACCTGATGCAATCTCCAGCGAAACGTCGATTCCCATTTTTTTTAATTTCGCACGTTTAACCCACATGACACTTTTGTTCAGTGGCTGTGTCGGTTTGAGGAGACGTTTACAACAGACATTTTTACACAGCCTAATTCAAAAGAAACCAAATTATGAATCGTATTGGTAGTGAAAGCCTACATATAAAATATTCTACTGATTACATATGAGCATTATTATTTTATTATTCGGGCCCTGGCTCAATTCTCGACTTGGGCGTGTTTCTGTGTGATGTGTAGTTTGTATCTAATGCTCCTGCATACCCCCCTCCCCTTCCCCCCATTGTGAACAGTTGTCAATATTCATTATAATTGTTCGTGTTGAGCCAGGAAAGCCAAGCTGAGTCTCAATATTTTTTTATGGTGGGTCCTGTCGAGTTCTCACGGGGGGGGGGGGGGTCGATGTTGTTGTGTGTAATCCCAATCGAGTAATTTGAAGGTACGTTTTCAGCATTGGGATCTTTGGCCAATATCAGTTACGTTGTGTGTTTTATTAACTGTGGAAGGAAACCAGAGGACATGGAAGAACCCCGTGCAGAACAAACCACACACAGAAAGGCACCCCAAGTCGGGAATCGAACCTAGGCGACTTCTTGCTTTGAGGTACAAGTGTTACCACAGCAGTATCCTGCAGCCCATTTGCATTGTTACCTGTAGAGTGCGCAGGGTTTGTAGGGCGGCGTGCTTGGCGTGTGCAGCTCGGCAGGATAGCAGAGCAATTAGTGCGTATGTCACGTGACATTTGTACTTGGGGTTCCCAAAGGCCAGAGCCTCTAGCAGCAAGCGGGCGGCTTTTCTTGATGCTTCACCTTCCATGCGCGCCAAGCACTCCGCCACAACGCGCACACCTACGGCAATAATCCATGATCATAATTGAGTGCATTTGGTATTTGCAGCAGTCTTATGGTGCAAGGTTATCACGATTGCGTGGTGTGGCCCTCCGATGTGTGTTTTTGGGTTGTAGTGTGCGTTGTCCGACGCGATATTTGACATTTCGCTCCTAGTGCTGGGAGCCTCTTCAGGCACTGATGTCCGATGTCGTGCTGAACAAACAAACACCGTGCAACCCAACACACACTTCACGTTGCTATATTTTAGCGGCGGAAAGAAGCAAGTTGCATAACACGACGTAATAATTAGTGCCATTGTGGGGAATAAAAGTCAATATAAGTAGACAATATACCTCCACAGATCTGTCCTTACATATATATAAAAAAAAATCTAAGTATTTTTTTGCACATCCCATTAGCCACTGGGCCTTCTGGAAGTGCAGAATTTCAGCAACATTGATTTAAGACAGCCTGACTCTCTAGATGACACACTGAAGGTTGAAACCCATCGAGTTTGTTCTGTGTTGAACAATGCTGCTGAAATTATGCACTCCCAGATGGCCTCCCAGGAGACATATTGTCTGCTCATAAAACAAACAATCTTGAATTGAAGCTTTCGTGACTGCAAGAATCCATACTCTTTGGTTCTTTCAGTAAAGTCACGTGGGTAGAACCTACGATACTTTACCGAAAGGTAGAACCTACGATACTTTACCAAAAGGTAGAACCTACGATACTTTACTGAAAGGTAGAACCTACGTGACTTTACCGAAAGGTAGAACCTACGAGACTTTACTGAAAGGTAGAACCTACGTAACTTTACCGAAAGGTAGAACCTACATAACTTTACAGAAAGGTAGAACCTACGTGACTTTACCGAAAGGTAGAACCTACGAGACTTTACTGAAAGTAGAACCTACGTAACTTTACCGAAAGGTAGAACCTACATAACTTTACAGAAAGGTAGAACCTACAATACTTTACCGAAAGATAGAACCTACGAGACTTTACTGAAAGGTAGAACCTACGTAACTTTACCGAAAGGTAGAACCTACGTAACTTTACCGAAAGGTAGAACCTACGATACTTTACCGAAAAGTAAAACCTACATGACTTTACCGAAAGGTAGAACCTACGTGACTTTACTGAAAGGTAGAACTTATGTGACTTTACCGAAAGGTAGAACCTACGATACTTTACTTAAAGGTAGAACCTACGTGACTTTACCGAAAGAACAAAAGAGTATAAAACATATTCTTAGCTCTTTCGGTAAAGTCACGTTGAAGGGAAACAATAAAATAATGAACTATATATATAAAACATATATATTTTATTATTTTATTGTTTCCCTTCAACGTGACTTTACCGAAAGAGCTAAGAATATGAATTACTGCAGTCACGAAAGCTTTAAATCAAAAAGTATAAAACATATACATCACAAATAGACCATGAGTAATCCCCACCGTGGCTTTGACAGAGCAGCTCCTTGAGCATGCGGCCAGTGGAGGTGCACATGGCCAGAAGGACCTCCAGCGTGACCGCACACTCCGCCTCGCCTCCCTTGCTGGAATTTGCAATGATCTCCAACAGCGCCGAGGTGCCCCCACACTCTGCAAACTCCAACGCAAGCTGCCGCCTGCAAATCCGCATGCAAACATGTGTACGGCAGGGTGGCGCGCACTGGTGACAAATGCGCTTCGTACCAAAAGGGTTCCAGGGTTTCGACTCCCAAGTCGGATGCATTTGTGCGCGAAGTTTGTTCTCCCGCTGTTCTGCATGGGCTTCCTCCAGCTTTCCTCTCATAGATGGAAAAAAAAAATACAATGGAACTGTGATTGGAAACAAATATTCGAATGCTGCAAAATGACTGGCAAATGACTCATTTGGGATGACACATAGCAGCATCACCCCCTACTGCGAGAACTTTGCAGGAACCACCATAAAAAATATATATATTCTGAGACTCAGTGAGGCTCCCTGGGTAAAACAAGAGCAATACATATATAATATCAGCCTTCTGACAATGAGTGGACCGAATATGTTTTCAGACTCAGTGTAAACATTTAAGGTATTGTGTAAACTGTCACGTGGTATTGTTGGTATTTGCGACAGTAACATTCACGTGGAGTGTGGTCTCACCCCCCTGAGGCACACAGGAACAAGGACAGCACCCGTAGCTGCAAGAGAAGACACGTTCGTGACAGGTATCTGCGCACATATAAGGAACACAATATCGTGGTGCGTTGTGCAATGCTTCGCAAGCTACATCAGAATCCTGGCACATTGTGTTTAATTCCTGATCATGCACACCGCCAGTGTTGATTTGTATACGGACTTAAACGTTTCCAGTACGTCTCCGAAGCTAATTGAGCCTGGATATTACTGCAGGTGTAGCAACTGGAAAATATGCGCCGTCTTGCTTCACGGCGAATGTCAAAGATAGAAGCAGGAACGGTCGGCCGTTGCGTGCTGGTGTCATGGTCCAAATAAAACAAAAATACCCCAAAAAATTACTCAGTTGGGATGCACATAGCAACATCGCCCCCTACTGTGAAACTACTTAAAATAAAATATGAACAGAGAAACATCTTAGAGTGACGACGCGCTACAGAAACATCCTGGGATAAACCAGCAAATCTTCCAGAACCCCCCCTCCCCCACACACAGTATTACAACACTGTGTGCAAAAATCCCTGTGTGATGCAAGTCAAACAATATCAACCATAAGACACCATTGGAACCTCCTTTGCCAGTAGCAAAATATAATTGTGTTTTTTTACCCTTTTATCTGTGCGCCTTTTGGCGTCATCTGGTCATCTGGTACTTGAAGGCCATGAGAAACATACGTATATTCGTGATAGCCTTGTGCTATAAGAATGGTGTGAATACCAAATGTACAAAATGATTGTCATTCTGCTGGTCATGCTATGATGATGCCTTTGATTCTGATCTTCCTGTTGCTCATTTGCATAATCTGAAATATTTTGCAGGTACAGTAAGTGGATATCATGAGCAAATTCATCCATTTTCATGTGATTATCAGCAATATGTTTCACAGATACGTGGAGTAAATTAGCAGATAAAATAACATGTCTATCCCTCACATCACTGCACACAAGAGTTCTGCCGCACTGTAATTTGGTTTCAACCCTGTACATAACACTCAAATCCCGTAGAAGGGTGAGCATCGAATTCTCGCTCCTCTGAACACGGGTGTCATGCTCACAATCTCAGCACAATTCACGGACCCATACCTGTGCTTATTTTCTCAACATAAACATTCTGGAGTATGGGTTGACTCACGTTTTGGTTCGTGATCATTACGATTTGTTTCTGTTAAAGCGCGCCCTCTTTTTCGACTGGGCACCTCGTTGATTCTCAAACATGTCAAAGAGCATCCCAGTAGCTGTTGTCCCTGGGGGCACAAGGTCACTCAATGCATGGCCTGCAGTCAGGGATTAGTCTATCAGTTTTGTGTGATGAATGCTATGCATAATCCAAATTGAGCAATTTGGAAACATTTTTACCCTGATGCCGGCTGGCTCACATTTGTCTACTCTTTTTCAAATGACATCAGGAGATCTCTACCGTCCACCACGAAGCAGATGGCGCGTAGTATTTTTTTATGGTAAATACACCTGCAGTGATAACCACGGCAACCGCCTGGCTCGAACTGCGAACCTCTGCGACAAGTGGAGAACGTGGTACAGCTGGGTCACATCACCTTGATGAGTACTACGGTGGCTTTCAGACCGCATCCATTATTTTCGTCTCCCCCCCCTCCTCTTTTCCGAACATAGATGGACTCGTCCATCTGAACAAACTGTCAAATCACTCTCCGTGGTGCTAACGTAACAAAAAAACACCGCCACTTTTTTCAAATTTTCTTGCTGTGGTTTTCACACCTGATGATGATTGCTTGTGTTGCAGTCGAAACGTCGTGATAATTTTGTTTTATATTTTTATTATTTTATTGTTTCCCTTCTACGTGGTGACTTTACCGAAAGAACCAAGAATATGAGTACTATGTATGTCGCTGCACCACGACCGTGTCCCATGTAAGGACTAAAGCGAGCAGTAGGATACGTGACGCGGAGCCAGGCTCCAAGGCGTGCCAGGACCAGACTCGCTCCCCCAGGACCCAGTGCCACTTCCAACTCAGCCACACTCTCTCCAGCGTGAGCCTCGAGCATGGAGGAGAGTAGGCGGGCACGCACCACTTCTTTTCCGCCATCCCATCGTGCCAACCAGGCAGCCAGACTTCCCCTAGTCCGGCCGGACGCACGTGGCCTGGCAACTGGTCCACAGCCGCCCCGCTCGCCGGCTGGCTCGGCCACTTGCATGGTTTGTGACCTTTCCTCCCTGTCGTCAAAAAGACACAACATACAGACTTGATCAAATTATTAATCCATAAGATAGGTATAAAACAAAAATAATGCATCCTATTAAAAGTATTGATTGATGTGTCAAATATTAGGCAACCTTTTGAGACACCGAAAAATATCAAAGTCTGTATCAGCACATCCACAGTGGTGGGAAAGAGGAGTATACATATGCCGTATTCAGGGAATGGCAAAGCGGAATGAGCTTCGGCGGGAAGGGGTCTCACTGAAGGTATTCGTGTTCGTGCCCTACAAAGAGTTCGTGGTGGTGTTGTTGCAACAATAAAGTTCCATTACCAAGACGACTCCTTTTCATATTTAAAATAAATTGGGGCTGGGTTGGGTGGTAGTGGAGAGAAGGGATAGTTGCTCAGCCGTATTTGGTGTTTGTGTATTCCGTTGTGTTTTTGTATGCCTGTAATTATGTCTGTGCGCCGCTTTCTGTATGTGTGTGGAAATGGACAAATATATAATGTGGGGAGCGTAAATGTAAAGGTTAGCGTGCTGCTCTATGAACCCCCGTTACCCGAGTTCGATTCCCGCTCATCACCAACACCCTAGGTCGACTCAGCCTCAAATGAGTACCTGGTGCGTTGTCTAAAAATCGCCACAATGGAGACAAAGGCGGCCGGGCGTGGTGCTGGCCACCCACCCCCTCGTGTGCCGTGCCGGCCTTCATAGGGTGCTCGCTACCAGCACTTGCCCCCTACACTCTGTTAAGGCTACACGGGGGCTCTTTGTCTTTTATCTTTGTAAATATACCATGTAAGTGAAAGGTGCGGCCCTACAATTGCTTGCTCACACGACTTTTCGTGGAAGGGCTTCCCACTAAATCGAACCCAAGAGGCTATTTGGTCGACTCTATCACGTTGACCGGACGTTTTAATTGTGGGAGGACCAACGCTTGCCGTTCGAGCTTAGTTTATCAATGCTGTTCGGTGGGCAGGGATTTGAGAATCTTGTCCATTATTGCAACTAATCGCGGCGGTAGATGGAATAAGAACCGGCGACCACTGGGATTGCTTGTCCACGGCAGATCTCCATATACATAAAAGGCAAAGTTGTGAATATGTGTCTATTCAAAATGTTTAGCGTACTTCCCGACATGCAATAAACTGGAAATTTGCCATGTGGGTACTTTCCAGACTGTACACCATGCAAACATTATAAAATAGAGTTTTGTTTTATGGGGGGGGGGGGGAGCTCAATAATGCATCAATTTTTTGCACGGCAAGTGAGCTGTGACGTCAAATCTGTCACGTGACCTGCACACGTGGAAGCGTAACGCATTGCAGTGTAGCGGTTAGCGCGCCGCGCTACGAACCCGGCGACCCGAGCTCGATTCCTGTTTACAGCCACCACCGGTGACGATTATTTTAACCGGTCCTGGGCCTCCCCTAGGTCGACTCAGCCTCAAACGAGTAACTGCTGTGGTGTGAACATCGCCACTGGGGAGACAAAGGCGGCCGGGTGTGGTGAATCCAAGTCCCGGGCGAAGCCGGGTAGTACAGCTAGTACCCCATATACTGAACACCTAGGACAGCATTTGGTGGCAGACCGAGATCAACATTATGAAGAAGTCAAGAGGAAGACGACAACAGATAATTATCGTAGTGCTTCACAGAAACATCTTAGCACATTTGAATCTGCCTCGAGAGGAAAGTTCCCAAAGGATGGGCGTTGCTTGTGCGTGCTTTATGGACCATTTAGGGCAGACATGGGCATAGTACGGCCCCCGGGCCGTATATGGCCCGGGGGCTTTTTAATCCGGCCCGCCGAACTTGTCCAAATAATATTGTTAAATTTTACCTTTCTCCTGTAATGCCCCCATTTCCCCATTAGATGGCGCACTTTGACCGGGAGTTACGACATGTTTTTGTATTGTTCATGTTCGTGCAATTTGTTAAATTGCCTTGCAAAGAAATGCCTTGCTACCTGCTAAAGGCCAAATCCTTTCATGTAACGATTTTTACACGTCATTTATATTAAGTTCACACAAACACTCCATCCATCTGTTCCTGGCCCGGCCCCTCTGTCAAATTTTAGAACCCATTGTGTGCCCGCGAGTCAAAAAATGTGCCCACCCCTTGATTTAGGTAAACACAGTACGGAGCATTGAAAAAGTGCACGACGCGTGGAGAGACACGTGCGTTTCAATTACACCGAGAAACAGCAAGGACTCACGGATAGAGAACGCACGGAGGATGGGGTTAAACACATCGTCATTGTGAATGTTGTGGATTTGCTCTCCAAAATACACCGGTGTGCTGTACTAGTAACGAATTGGCCACGTTCTGTTGACGTGGTGGCGGGTTTAACGACACATTTATATATTTACGCGATCTAACACTACAAAAAAAAACCCGTATTATGGACATCATCACATGGATATAAAAGTAGGCTTTGGACAGGTACGACCAGAGGAGAGATGGAGCCACCGAAGGAGAGAACACCACGTACACGTGAGAGAGAGAGTGGAGGGGGGACCTCCACCGTGGGTCGGATTGTTATTGTATCGGATTGTTGTTGTATCGGATTGTTGTTGTATCGGATTGTTGTTGTATCAGATTGTTGTTGTATCGGATTGTTGTTGTAACGGATTGTTGTTGTATCGGATTATTGTTGTATCAGATTGTTGTTGTATCAGATTGTTGTTGTATCAGATTGTTGTTGTAACGGATTGTTGTTGTTGTATCGGATTGTTGTTGTAACGGATTGTTGTTGTTGTATCAGATGGTTGTTGTAACGGATTGTTGTTGTATCGGATTGTTGTTGTAACGGATTGTTGTTGTATCGGATTGTTGTTGTAACGGATTGTTGTTGTATCAGATTGTTGTTGTAACGGATTGTTGTTGTAACGGATTGTTGTTGTTGTATCGGCTTGTTGTTGTATCAGATTGTTGTTGTAACGGATTGTTGTTGTTGTAACGGATTGTATCGCGAGACCGTGAGAGGTGGCGACGGTTCGGGGAGACCTCCATCCCCGCAGTGGCTCCTGCTGGCTCCTGCTGCTCCTGCTGCTGGTTCCTGCTGGCTCCTGCTGGCTCCTACTGCTCCTTACTGGCTCCTGCTGGCTCCTGCTGGCTCCTGCTGCTCCTGCTGCTCCTTACTGGCTCCTGCTGGCTCCTACTGCTCCTTACTGGCTCCTGCTGGCTCCTGCTGGCTCCTGCTGCTCCTACTGCTCCTTACTGGCTCCTGCTGGCTCCTACTGCTCCTTACTGGCTCCTGCTGGCTCCTACTGCTCCTTACTGGCTCCTGCTGGCTCCTGCTGGCTCCTGCTGGCTCCTGCTGCTCCTGCTGCTGGCTCCTGCTGCTGGCTCCTGCTGCTGGCTCCTGCTGCTGGCTCCTACTGCTCCTTACTGGCTTCTGCTTGCGGCCGCATGTTTGACGCACGCAGCGACGCGGCGTTACCTAGAGACGAGGCACGGCGCAGCTAACAAACGCCCCAGCCCATATATGGATCGAGACCATCAAATCAAAGGAGTGGTGATGAGAAAACTCCCCATTCATTAACACCGAAGTCGGCTTTCGCGACCAAAATTATGCACAATAGAGGGGGGCTATTTTTTTTTGGGGGGGGGGGTTAGTTAAACCCACAACATTTACAATTTACTCAAATTGTGTCGGGTGGTGGCGGGCTTAACGACACATTTATATTTACGCGATATAACATCCAAACCCCCCCTCCTCCTCTATTATTGATTATAGCAACAAATGTGCGATATTTTAGGTCCATCAGTCTACATATTGGCCTTCCAGACAGGACTCACTGCCTTGACATTTGCTCTGCGTGTGCGATCGATCGGCCTCGTGGCACGCGGTCCACGCTTGCAGTTCAACATCGCATGCGACACGGTCCTATTGGTGGTGGTGGCTGTGTTTGATCACTCAACTCTCCCAACTCCACCGGTGGTGCTGAACTTAAGTGACGATTCGGCATGTTTTGGTACAGTTTTGTGTACGTGGCAAACCTTACTGATTAGCTGTGTTGGGTTTCGCGACAAATTTTACCCCCTCCCAAGAAAAAAACTGTTATGGATGATAGCAACAAATACGCAATTTTTTTGGGCTATCAGTCTACCGTACGGTATTGGATTTTCGAGATAGAACCCGTTGCCTTAGATTGAAACTACCCCCCACCACCAACCACCCACTACATCGCCCCAACGCCACCACCACCACCCACAACCTTCACCACCGCCCCCACTACACCACCCCCAACACTCTACCCACCACCAACACCACCCCCCACAACCCCCCCACTAACACCACCCCCCACCAACACCACCCTCCACAACCCCCGCCCCACCACCAACACCACCCACCCACCACCACCCCCCACAACGCTCCACAACGCCCCCCACTACACCCTACCCACCACCAACACCCCACCCACCACCAACACCACAACCCCCCCACCCCCCCACCACTCCCCCCCACACCCCCACCACTCCCCCCCCACCAACACCACCCCCCACAACCCCCCCTACACCACCACCACCAACACCCCCCCACAACACCCCCCCCACAACACCACCCCCACAACCCTTTCCCCACCACCAATCACCCCCCTACGTAAGATGGCGCCCGTGTTTATAACCGGGCTTGCGGCGCGCAGTGCGCGGCGCGCGCGGCGATGACGCGCAACAACGTCACGGCCGCCCGCTGCGCATCGCGGCGCCGCGACTCCACGATGGCGGCGGCGGCGTTCTCCTTCGGCTCCGCGTCGCTCGGGAACGCGGGAGGTAAAAACAACAACCACAACCACAACAACCACAACCACGCACGCGGTGCAGTGCGTCAGAGTGAGTGAGTGTGTGTGTGACACAGTGTGTGGACGTGACACCGTGGGGAGCGCTGGTGTAGCGGTTAGCGCGCTGCGCTATGAACCCGGCGACACGGGGCTCGATTCCCGCCTTCCCTAGGTCGACTCAGCCTCAAATGAGTACCTGGGTGCGGTGTGTAAAAACATCGCCAGCACTGGGGAGACAAAGGCGGCCGGGCGTGGTGCTGGCCACCCACCCCCTCGCGTGCCGTTCCGGCCTTCATAGGGTGCTCGCTAACAGCACAGTCTGTTAAGGCTATATGGGGGATCTTTGTCTTTGGACGTGACACCTAGACACGCACCTAATCGATAAGTTTCGGGGCTACGGGTACGATGGAGAGCGAGAGATGTTGGTGGCCACTCACGCAAGGCTCGACCGGCCGAGCTTTTGCCGCCCGCCTCCGTCCATTACTGTACGCGTGCGTGGCAGAGGGTTCGGTGTTTTATTTAAGGCTGAGCCGACCTAGGGTAGGCCCACGATCGGTTCAGGTACTGGATTTGTCACCGGGGTTTGACTGTCGGATTTGGCGCCCTGCGCTGTAGCCGCTACGCCGTCGTCTCCCCCCCCCAACCCGCGGACTTGCTGTGTGGACTACGCACGTTCATTACACACAGCGACTCGCACAAGGGGAGTCATCGCATTTAGCGAACACTACACACACAGACAAAGATTCCCCGAATTAGCGAGCACGACAACACACACGGCGACTCGGCACGCAAACGCGGCTGGTGCACCACCGTAGTACGTGTGACACGGGCAGTTAACGGCGGTGAAAGGCGCATCCACTTGGATATATATTTTTTAAAAAAGACGACAACATAGTTTACGACGCGCACACTTCATGGACATGGTTCCCTGTGGAGCCAAGCAAGCCGTTCCACTCGAAAGCCACGCGAACGAGGCGCGAGGCCTTTCAGTGTCTCCTAAAAATAGACGAATATTTTGTGATGCTGGTAGTGGTGCCCCCTAGCCTCAACAGCAGCAACAACATAACCCTCAACACGTTCATCAATAACACTGCACGGTTGTTTACGAAGTAACAAAATACATCCATAAAATAGGCGACGCGTTTTTGGACAATCGCCTTGCCGGTCTTCAAAACACATTGAGAGAGAGAGGATTTGAGGGTTGGAGATTGCACTTAATAACCATGTGGCCTGATGAGAATGAATTAAAAAAAAGTTTTTTTTTATAACCACTTTTCTAAGCAGGTACGTGAATAGCTACCGAATAGTAGCTGTAGAGACACAAATTCTTCAATCGAAATATATTGCCGTGCTAATCGGAGGTTCGGGGGAAGGACAACATACTGAGCACAAAAAGCTATTCTAAAGAAATTAGTTTTCTATTTAAAGGAAATTCGTTTTACATTTAAATAAGCTGCTAAATAAACTAATTAAAAGTTAAATCTACAATGTTGCTGGGACATTGCATTCTGGAAGATGTGTTCTTGTGGGAAACGGGTAACTACTTTTCGATTTAAAGCTTTCGTGACTGCAATGATTCATCTTCTTTGTTTTTTTCGGTAAAGTCACGTAGAATGAGAATAAAATAATAAATTGATCAAATAAAATAACAATAATATTCTCACGACGTTTCGGCCACAACACAAGCGGCCTTCATCAGGTGACAGCGCTGTCCTACCAGACAGTCTCGTCCCTTCACCTGATGAAGGCCGCTTGTGTTGTGGCCGAAACGTCGTGAGAATATTATTTTATCAATTTATTATTTTATTCTCATTCTACGTGACTTTACCGAAAGAACCAAAGAAGGGTAACTACTTTGTTATTTTTCTTGCAATGTTTTGTAAATGTGACATTATGGACACTGTAAGTCGAACGGTTCGTAAGTCGCAACGCAATAATGTACTCTATTTAAATGCACATACGATTAGAACAGTTGGCTACGTTGGTATGAAAGAAGTTCAACATACATAAAAAATATATTACGGTTCAACAAAAAAGGGAAGCATTGTTAAACTTCTAAACAAGAAGAAATATTGTAGATTTGCATGCAATACTGTAATAAATACTGTATCGTAAGTAAAACAAAATAAAGTTACCCTGAGTTCTGATGCTGGCTTGGTTGTTGGAATGGGCATCCCCCACAATTGCTGTTAGCGAGCAGTGCCTACGAAGGCCGACATGGCACATGAAGGGGTCAGTGGCCAGCACCACGCCCGGCCTTCTTCGACTCCCCAGTGGCGATGTTTACACAGTCGAGTCAACCTAGGGGATGTCCAGGACCCATTAGGTTAATCGTCATTGGTGTTGGACATGAACAGGAATCGAACTCTGGTGGCAAACTTACTTTCACACATACTCTTTGGTTCTATTCGGTAAAGTCACGTGACTTTTCCGAATAGAACCAAAGAGTATGGATCCTTGCAGTCACGAAAGCTTTAAATCTAGAATTACTTTCACACACACATGGGCGCGCGCAGACAAACACTCCCAACAGGTTGCTGTGACCCATTACATCTCGCGGAGAGTTGCTCCACTGAATTAAATAGTCCTGCGGTTCAGTTTGCAAGTGCGAGTTTGCATTTGCAAGTTGATATAAAAAACATCTCATGGAAGCTCGTTCGTAAATGCGAATGTTCGCAAGTCGAGTGTTCTTAAGTCGGGGATTACCTGTGCTGCTCGTGACCATGTCTCGTTATGTAACACTGCTTTGCAGGGTTTGGATTTGGTCAGAACCCAGCCACCACAACGGCAGCACATACAGCTGGATTTGGTGGCTTTGGTAACACAGGTAATATTTACGTGACTTTGTATCATGGCAATCCAAGCTTGGACGTAATATCACACTGTGTAACAATTGTTTTTGTTCCTGGGTAGTGAGTGTTATTTTGTAATTGCTTATGCCTCAAAAGTACAGAAAATGGCTATTATTCCCAACAAACTTTGCTTTTATGACTAGGAGAGTGATATCTTTAAATGTACCTATTTTCAATGAGAAAACGGGTGAATTGGTGTCTTTTCGTTCACATAAAGTCAGAAAAAAACAACATGAATCAAAATTAACATGTATTTATACTAAATTAATAAAAAAAATACTACTAAATATTTATACACCAAGGCACACTACCACAGGTGGGACTGGCCACAGCGTACCGAGTTATCTGGAGGGAGGAACAGCGTCAAGTGGGAGCCACTGGTGGACCCCCGGAAGGTGCTGATGCCACCACTGCACATAAACTTGGACCTCATGAAACAATTTGTCAGAGCTGTAGATAAGGAGTCGACAGCCTTCAAGTATC